GGGGGGTCGAGTTCAGTAGCATAATTTTAAAGCAAAATTACTCTTTGGGCATTTTAAATGCTTTTTTCTTTTATAAGCCTCAAAACAATTATAACAAATAAAACCTGACTATGTGTAGCAATGATGTTAAGAAACCAAGGTCAGTGGAAGTTTTAGAAAATTTTTAAATAATATATTTTTTAAAAGATATAGAAATCCTCTAATCTGATACCAAGCAATTGTGTGTGATTCTTCCTGGGAAGACCAGCATTTTGCCTACTTAAAAACTGATACAGAAACGTTTATACCTGCTTCACTGTGCAGAAGGTTGCGTTAGTAGCTGGATTTTTTTTTTTTTTAAGCTCTGCGATAAGGACTTACGCAGCTGTACCCCTCTTGAAATACAAAGCTTTTTTGTGGGTAGTCAGTGGGATGAGTTTGTGCAACTATAGCTTGGGGACCGGTGGGAAGCCTGGGCCTACGGGGCAGTCCTGGTTCTGTAGCTGGTTCAGGCTCCAGCTCAGCAGAGCAGTTGAGTCCAGGTCCCTTCAGGGGGGAAAGGACCCGCTGCCAGTTAAGTACCTGCTCAGTGAGACTGGGTGGCGCAGAGTCACCTTGCTCCCCTTTCCTTGTCTCTGCAGCAAATCACAGGCTGTAACGGTACAGTGGTGGCTGGTAGGGTTAGCCCTGAGCTTGCAGGGCGAGCCGCTGGCTTTCAGCTCCTTCCTCGCTTTGACTCTGACTAAAGCAGCGTCTGAAACGTTCCCCCTAAAAAAGCAATATGAGAAGCATTACGAGATGCCTGGGTTAACCTGTGACTGCAAGATATGCCCCGGCCCCGGCTGTAAGGAAAGCTTTTAATCAAACACTTTGAGAAGTTCATGCTCCTCTTTTTTTTTTTTTTTTTGGGGGGTCTGGCCAAGAGGATGAGCGCCAGAGGCGCTTGCTGCGCGGTCTGATTGCAACCTAAGCGGGACTGTAAGCTCAAACCCAAATGCTGCCACGGGATGTTATGTGAATGTGTTTAAAATGAAGAAGGGAAGATCAAATCATGAATATTGATATGAAGGGAAGATCAAATCTTTATATAGAGAGGCGAGAAGACAGACAGATTGATCTACTTGACTTGCCCCTCTGTCTGTCTCCTTCCTCTGGTAAGAAGTGCTGCTTTGTGGATGTAGGATGGCTTTCAGTTTGCTTGGTCATGCCATTAAGATGCACTTTCTCTGTCTTGTTGGTGTTGCGCTGGTGTCTTCTCTAGTCACGCAGGCAGCAGCCTGGGGGGAGAAGAGTGTCTCCCACAGCGTCAACTGCTATGCAAGAGAGAGCAACCTTTCCTCCCTAGAAACGGGTCTCCTTGCTGGTATTTTGGACAGGGTTTTACTGTTACTGGATTTTAACAAGCAACAACATTTGGGGCCAGGCAAGAGGAACTTGCCTCCACCCTTTTTGGGGTCCAAGGCCATGTATGAACTGAAGCACAGCCAAAAGCCCCAAGTCCCCACGCAACTGGTAGTGAGGTACCAGACAGCAACTAAATAGATGGGCTGGGGGAAGCTTAGTCCCTTCACCTCACCTCCATCTCTCCAGCAGCTAAAGAGAAAATACCTTCTCTGAACAGAGCATTTTGCTTCCTCTAGCAGGAGAGTGGTTTCTGAAGGCAAAAGAGGTGATTCCTGGTTACCAGATAGAGTAAGAAAGGGTCATTTACCAACTTGCCAGGGATTTCACAAGGGTAAAAGAAAGAGTCTGGAGTCTTGCTGGCCTCAAACATAGAAATTTCATCTTAATGGGAACGTTGGCTCCATGTGGGGCACGGGGAGTTAAATAAAGCCAAAGACTGTTCAGCTGCTAGCAAAAATGAGTGACTGTAGTTGCATCTGATGTTCTGTAATTCAGTGTTTACAATATTTATTTGTAGTAATTGACTGCAATTATATATATATAGGCTTCCTTATTTTTGTATTTTACATACTGTTTTCTTGAGTGTGGTATTGTATTTCTCAGCTCCCCTTTGCCACAAGTGCTGCTCCTAGACAGTGACAAATAAAAGAGAAACAAAAAACAATGTTTTCTGTGAAAGTTGTGATGTGTTTGGGTTTTTGTGCTCCTCTTTCTCGTCCTCCACACCCAGCCCCTCCCGCATCCCTCAGGAATGGCACCTGCACCTCTGGCCTCATCCCAAATCCCCGATTCCATCCACTGGAACGAAGGGCCAAAGTTGGGAAGGGATTTATTTCTTTGCACCAACAGTCCCTCCATAACCAGGAGGGTGAGGGAGGCAGAGAGGTGGGGTCAGGGAACCCGTGAGCTCAGGGGAGGGAGTGAGGCGTCTTGACAAAAATATCAGTTTGATGATGTGCTAGATGAAAGCCGTAAAATTCTTCTGCTCTTGTCCAAAGAAATATGACACAATACATATGCATATGCAATACATATATGCACAGAAGTGCATTCATGGGCTGCATCCGATATAAAAGGCTATTTAAGGTAGAAAAGGACAGATGCTGATGACTATTACACTTGAAATCATTTATTCACAAGTTGCCACTTTTTTTCCATCTTATCTAACACATTTTTGTCCTTGTTATAAAGTACAAAGGGTTTTAGACTTTTCTGACAACATTAAAAAAATAGGCTACTAAAGAGGCAAAATTCCCACTTGGAATCCAAAAATCCTGATGTAAGAATTCAAAATAGCAATAGACAAACATAAAAACCAACCAATACATACAAAAAACTAATACAGCGTACCTCTTACTCTCAACTGGTTCATTAAACCAACTGAAAATGAATCCCTTGTTCCCAGGTCTTATTTTGGATCCTGTGACCTTGCTCAACTGATGTGAAGTTTGTGTTAACACATACAACTCAAAAGGCACTCAAAGGTCACAGGTTCCTGAGCTGAAGCAGGATATATTCCCAATGTAACAGTTAAAACAAGTCACCAAAAAACAATGTTTAAAAACTGGTATTTGGTTTGCATGAGTAAGTTAAGGATTCAGTAGAATCCTAGGTGAAAGCTGCTGCTGAATACTAGACTCAACTGATGGTTAGTACATTAGAGAATTATCGGTACTTGGAAAAAAAAAAAAATCACTTACGAGCATCCGCATTTGAAAAGTCACAAGCTTAAAAAAACCCAAAAACCAGAAGATTAATTTTTTCCCACAACACTTAAAAAAAATGGCCTAAGAGCAGTAAAGAAATATACATATATGAGATGTAATAAAGGCTTAAAAACAAGCAGGTTTGAAAATCTGTACAAACAGCTAAATGACTAACAAAAGGTGACAGGCAACGTTTACACAGACGTATTTGGCCCTGATGAAAAAGGACCACAGAAGTAAGCAGAACTGATCTGTAAATACCAGATCTGTCTTATTAAAATCAAAACAACCAAAAGCAACCAAACCCAAATGACTAAACACACATACCACAATGTGTGCTCAGAATTTTACAAGGTAAGTTAGTAATGCCATTCACACAAATTCATTATTTCCGATTTGGCTCAGTTTTTGCCCAGAAAAATAAAAGTGGAACATCTCTCAAACATGGAATGGCTACTGCCTGAAGATGCAGAGCAGACAGAAAGGAAAAAAAATAAAAACAGAACAAATATGAGATAACTAGTTTTGGCCTGTATCACTTCTGATCTTCTCTTCAGAGATGCATAGGAGTATACTGAGGCTGAAGAATAGCCGTATATATTTGCTACAGTGTAAGGCCTTTTTTTATTGTCATAGCTCTGTGCGTCAGCAGGGCATTTAACTTAAAGCAGGCATAGAGAGTTATAGAAGTGCTACTATATTCCACTGAAGAGGTCTCAAGTTTCTGAATTATCTAGCAGTGCCTCACTCTCAGTTTTCTTCTCTGGCGACGTGTACAAGAAGTTACAGCAGATATAGAGTGGGAAGATGAGGAGTCTGCTGTCCAAATTCATTACTACTTGTTCCTGTAAAGCAAACACAGGGGACATTCTTAGAGTAAGTGATACCATTCAAATTACAGGGAAGCACAACAGAGACACAGGCACTCCACTGAGTGGTATATTGGCCACAAAAGAACACGCGGGATCGATACTAACAGTCATTCTCTGAATTCCAAGTCCTGTACACATGTAAAAAAAGAAAAGCAAGCTCCAGATAATCATTCTCCTTCACCTTAAGCAGATGTTTTATACTACCAACACTGATAAGATGTTCTCAAATCGGTAATAACCCTTTGTCCCACTGCGGCCATCCTTCTGTGTCAAGAAGGACAAACTGTCAAAAAAAGACTGAGCAACCTTTACTTTCAAGCAAGCTGGGCAGAAAGGGAGACTTTTCTATCACTATCAGTTTCACAAGACATACCAAACTGCACAGTCCATAATGGGATTTTAAGGCAAATCGTAGTTTCTTGGTAGGACTTTTTCGGTTGTTACTCTAGGAACTAGTTTTGGGATAGGACAAATTTTCCATTTTGCTATAGTACAGCTAGTGTTGACAAGGAGAAGGTTTCCAGGTACTCGCCATCTACATATCACTCTGGTTAGGATTTAAGGGGCTGATGATCAATTCGTATGGATTCCTTAATAAATTCTGCTGTTGCACACAGGTGGAATTTGGTACAATGCATCAAGAAAACCTCACTCCTCTCTCAGACTTGTTTCTGTTTTGAAAATAATACAGTAATAAACAACAGCCTTGAAAAATATGCAGACATTAAGTCTTCAACTTGCATGTAAAACAAGACGTTCCTCAAATAAACAGGAGTCTGATTATTCAGCATTATTCAATACTGACTACTACATTGTAACAAAGCCATTAAAAAGGAAACCTGAGGAGTTCGTATTTACTAACAACTACTTTTACAAAAATGGCACAAATTCTATTCACATGCTTTAAAAGTAACCTGCTCTTACTCTTGGCTATTCACGAATGATAAAGGAAATATTTTTTATACCCAAAATATTGCCAGACAGATAGTAACTCACCAGTGTTGAAAGCCTGGGAAAGTAAGCAGTTGTTTAGAAGAATGCTAAATTATCAGCAGATAGTTTCAAGCAGCACCATGGGAACTAATTTCACTATATCAACACTAAAAGTCTGAAGTGTCCTGCTCTAGTTGTACTTCATAAATTAGCTTGATCTTCTGCTGCCTATAAAGGGAGCACTTGATATTCTACATAAGCAACAACGAGAAAGAACGACTCTTCAGAAGTACTGTTGACACCTCAGCCTCTTTTTGCGCTTTGGACTCCAAACAATTCCAAGTTCAACACGTCAAAAATCCAAACATACCTGGTCCTTCTCAAGGGTTAGGATCTGATATCCTGTTGTTCTACTGCAAATAATTTTCCCACTGCTATCAAAAGAGGCCAGACGTAACCTAAGGGTATAACAACAGTTAAATTACTTAATCTCCCATAACTCCGTTTTTGAGCACAAAGAGCTTCTCCCAAGGAGACAGAATAACATTTTCAAACATAACTCTGTGGCAACAAAATTAATTGCCAGCACAGACGGAAAAAAAAACTTTGTTGAGGCATCAGATGTGAGCGCATGCCGCAGGGTCTGAATTCTTGGTTATTTCTTACCTGAAGGCTATGTTTCTCCGAGGCTGTAGACTGACTGATCCGCTGCATGGCTGATTCAGTGTATTTCGTTTGAAAATGATATAACGATTTGTGTAAGTAACAAGAAGGTCAAAGCCAAAGTTGAAGCCAGTCCATCGCCAGCAGTACTGAAGAACACAGGTAAAAACCAAATAAACCAGTCTGAATATTTGCTACAACAGGAATAATATGTGCCAATTCAACAAACGAAGCAAAATCACTTGGGGATGGCATTCTCAGCTACCAAGAGGTATGCATTCAAGGATTCTTGCCAAAACCTAATTTAAACAGGAGACATCTAGGTAGGCAACCACTCACTTCAGTCATCAACCCTACATTCATTCCCCACTTAAGGAAACATCGACATCAGTGAACAGAGCTATGTTTTAACTGCATGTATTTCACAAGTCTCAACTGACAAGCCATGTCTACATCTCCTCTTTTTACGCTCTAGAAGCTGTTTTGCAAAAATAGGCTTGTTTGTACTGCAAGAGCAAAATTAAAACAGTAACTTCTTGCTCGTCACAAAAACAGCAAGCGTTGTTATTCTTTTAGAGAGAACAGAGCAATTTCTCCAATGTATTACCTCCATTTCATCTTTTTGATGCAGTTCGACAATTAAGACCTATGCGTTTTGAAATTACCTAACATGCCCAAGACATGTCAGCTATGCACAGACTAAGCCGCGTGCTATACTTACATCACCATCCTTGGCAAGTTTTCTACCACACCTCATGCTATTTCCTTCCAATTCTTCTTTATTTATTTCTTGAGGCCTACAAAAAAGTATAACTTTAAGGACGCTTAAACAGCATTCTATGTTACTTTCAAGCGGGAAAGACCAACAATACTGAGTAACCTGGTCTGACCTCACCGCTGACCTTGTTCGGAGCAGAGGTTGGACTAGATGACCTCCCAGGGTCCCTTCCAACCTGAAATACCCTATAAACATGAAGCAACTCCACAAAACTGCAATATAAATCAGGTTGTTACACTTCAGTTAGGTAGGACTCCTACAAAAGAATCCTTCGAGGTCAGAAGGACGTTTTTTGTGTCTAGCTGTTGCAACAAGATACATCTGCAATCCTCATTAAAAAACAAAAAACCACACACATCTTTGCAGTACTCTGACTTACTAGGCAACAGTGCTACTGCTAGAGAACAGCTGTGAGTCTCTGCACAACAGCAGCACTGTGAAGATGCACCCAGAGAAGCTGTGCGGAAGATTTCTCAAGCGGCTGGTTATGCAACCTGTCTAAAAACGCTGGCCCACAGTGATCATGAAGTGGCACAAGCCCCTTGATTCTGTAAACTAGACCAACACAAATCTGTTCCATGCAACAGCTTCCCCTGGTGCTTCAACGGGTAGGGAAGTCTTGCAGATCCAGCGTAGCTAAAGTCAGTCTCAATTTTCCAGAGGTAAATTACTCAATTTTAAACATGATCAGTAACCACATAAGCAACCATTGCCAGAAAGTCTTCAAGTTACACTGAGGACAAATATTTAAACTGGCTATTAGAAAATCACAATAAAGGGCAACCCCTCCACAAGTTACATTAAAAAACCCACAACACCAAACAATATGATTTTAGCTATATAAGCAATAAGAAACGCAGCGTCTCTTCTCTTCCTGCTGTAAATACACCACAGGAACTCATCGCTACAGCTTTTGTGAACAAACTCTGTTGCGCTCTTTTTTTCCTCCGTTTCTGTAAAAACTGAACCTGGAAGATTACATACTTTATGAGCAGGTTAAGCCAATAAGCTAATCATGCTAACCAAATTGGCCCAGGAAGCTCCCGCATGCTTTTGCCACATCTAACTGAGCTGGTTATGTAACTGACCTATATTCAGCAATGGCGATACAAGATTTATTTGCTTAATCAGTGACAAATCAAAAAACAGGAGCAAATAATTTTTAGACAGACAGTATTCCCCCCCTCTCAGTTCCTCCAGAAGCTTCAGAAGATGCAACGCTTTTAGCCTTAATCACTTACACAAGCCTACCACATGCACAGGGAACAGCCAAGTTATTGTTTCCTTCTTAAACCCTGCCAAGGAGGCCGTTAAGAGTAGGAATGATTCCAGTCATGGACTTAAAAGATTTGTCTCCCGTCTGCCATAGGAACAAATGCTTAATTACAAAAAAAGAAATTATCCACTTGAGCACAAACAGGTAAACCTTGAGCAGCTCCATCTCAGAGTCACCGATTCCAGCATTACATTAAAAACAAATACTCAAATTTGGAAGAAGAGTGAATATAATGTTTAGTCCCTTTAAATGCAAACTACTTATAAGTAGAAGAGTCATTTTCCTCTCCTGTCTAAAGCTGTCAAAAGAGTGAACCACACCACATACTTCAAAGTAATATATCTTTCACTTCAGCAGTCTCAGAATACGCAGGTGCAACCATGCTATGCACCAGGTGAGACATGAAAACAGAGCCTTACTTCAGCTTAGTGGGAGTCAGATTTCACATTTTTCTTCAGCTTATTAAGTTTGCACCTCTAAGCCTCAGGGAAAACTCAGATAATATACTCATACAGGCATTAAGTGTGACAGAAAGGACAGCAGACCTGGATAAGAAAATGGTCTCAAAGAACCTTCGTTTCTTCCTTCTAGGGTTAGGGCTGATTAAATATCCAAAATACTTGCTTTAGCACAAAGGAACAGTTGCATCGCTTGCCCTCTAAGATATCAGTTGTGAGCCACTCGGCATCACCACTGCTTGTGAGCAGAAGAGAGAGAAGTGATCTCAGGAGTACAAGCAACAGTTCATCTTCTCAGATACTACATAATATGAACTAGCAACATCACAATCGAAACAGGGAAGTACCCCGAACACAAAACACAGCAAAAACACAGCATCTTGCTCCCGCACAACTCCAGAGGACGTGTCCACGGAGGATTAGTCCATTAACGACTTCTGAACAAAGAGCAACCTGGACGCAATCTCCAACCAGTAAGTTTCTAAACTACTAAATGTCAGAAGCCACGCTATATCGAGAAGAAACATCACACCTCTCCCGTTTCTTACAATTACTTACATATTAGAAAGCCATTACTGAAAGACTTTGGCAATGAATGCTAGACTAAAAGATTCAGGTTAAAAAAAAAAAAAAAAGTTCACTGCTTATGTAAAACACTTTCTCCCCGAGATTTTCAGATTCAGCTGTCTTAAACAGCAACAAACAAACAATACAAAAAAAAGAAATCTTGACAAGAAAAAAGACCCTGGGAAAATACCCTGCTCGTTTCAAAAGTCAGTGAATCAACAGTGCTGTAGTTGCACATGCGAGTTTTTGATTTTGAAGCTAGCATGTTCCCCCGTCGTCTTCACTTCAGTTTTCTACGATATCTCACTTTTTCAGCAGCACATAAATCAGATGGCTGACAATTAAAATACTCTCACTGCATTACAGTGAACTACTGAAAGACAGCAAACCCAAGCAAATACATACTCTTATCTTGTGTCAGGGTTTTTGATAGCTTCGTAATACTCACTTTGGTATTACCCCTGGTTCTCACATTGTAAGTCAGAATCTATGAGTCACAAAGTAACACACGACCATCTACCGCTAGTTACATCAACAGCGGTATTACAAGAAAAGTTTTCCCCAACAAACCAAAACCATCAAAAACAAGCTATGGCCATCCTACACTAAACTTTAAGAGCCGAGATTAAAAGAGATTCAAGATTATGTTTCTCTGCCTCTACCGTTTTCTAAAGCACTGCTATTGCCAAAGAGAACCACCCATTAAACATCTTTATTATTCTTCAGACCAAAATCAGAATTTTTGCAGTGCAGCACACGGAGTAGGAAGCAGAAAAGATGGGATATAAAACAGGAGGACTATGGAGGGAACAGCGTCTTAGCAGTGGAGAAGGATGCAGCGTGGAAAAAGCTAGAGGTGCTGACAGGGAGGAGAGCCTCCAGGACATAAGTCCTGAGTGGGAAAAAGAGTGTGAAAACAAAAGAGAATGTGATAACCAGGTTACAGGTTACCAAGGGTGGGCCCAGGCCCTGTAGGGTGCTGGGCCCGTGCTCACTGCATGGGACCCCTAGGATGGGAGAGGCAGGAACAAGTTTAGCGCGCAGTTACCTCTGCACAAACAAAAAGGACAAATTGCCTTCTACACCAGAACAGTTAGCCGCATTGCGCCACAACCTTTTGCCCACCTAGTCCAGAGAGGAGGAAAGCAGGACAGAAAAAGGACTACTACACATATAGAAGAAGCCTTTTCTAATACAGACTTTAAAACGGAAGGCTAATAAGTTACTATTCCATAGCCTCAACACATACTTCAAAGCAACGTACCAGTGGTAAGTATCACCCAACATATAAGAATATACAAAGAAAACAACATTTACCTCTAGTCATATTATAGAAGTGACAAGTTTTCTGGAGTTCTATCATCTAAAGGACAGGAGATCAGCCAGCCCAAGGGACAATGGCTCCACAGAGAACAGAGTTTAAAAACACTGAGGTATGCCTTCCCCCCCGCCCCCCGTCTTAATGTAAACTCCAACTGTTAAACATATCAGAGTTTATATCAGAGAAAGGTTTCTACTTAAAGAAAGAAACAGAGGAAAGCCTGTAATATACCTACCCAATATCATTGTCTTGTTCTGCTCTGAGCATGGCAAACCACTGCTGTTTGTAAACAGAGGACAGCCATTCTAAAATTAAAAAAAAAAAAAAAAAACTTGGGGTTTTTCTTTGGAGCTGGGAACGGGGATGTTTATAAACATTTGAAATAGAAATAAAATTACATTGAAAGAATAAGCTCATACTTCTTAACTGAATGGCTTATGCAAACCCACCAGCTGTTAATTCACTTACAGCACTCATCTTCAAGCCTCAACTACTTTGAAAAAGAGGGCCAGCCATTCTAAAATTAAAAAAAAAAAAAAAACAACTTGGTGTTTTCTTTGGAGCTGGGAACGGGGATGTTTATAAACATTTGAAATAGAAATAAAATTACATTGAAAGAATAAGCTCATACTTCTTAACTGAATGGCTTATGCAAACCCACCAGCTGTTAATTCACTTACAGCACTCATCTTCAAGCCTCAACTACAGAGGCAGTACAGATAAAAATGAACAACTAACACTAAGTGACTCAGCACTATATTCATCTCATCAAGCATTGATGATTCCCCAAAATAAGGCAGCTCAACAGATTATTTCGTCTGCGCACGGAATTCTGTTAAACCAAGGAGCTTGTTAGCAAGCTGCTACGAGAAGATGCCGTGTTCTGAATCCCCAGTACAACTCTGCACACAAGTTAAGCAAGAAGAAAAGCAAATCGAAGCATAAAGAAAACCATGACTTATTCACAGGTACTTTAAAAACAAAGGGAAGAGGTCCTCTACTAGGAGTAAACGTAAACCAGGTTTTCCTTTGAGTACAATATGAAGCTGTCATCAGCTACAATAATTTAACAGTTGCAACCAACAGGTAAAATTCAAAGCAAGAACTAGTAGTCTTTCTTAGTTACAAAAAGGGATCACAAGCAGCCAAAAGCACACAATGTACGTTCTTCTTTGTCGAGATAATGAAAAGGGGCAAGTAAGCCAGGGCACATACAAGAACAAACTCTATGGAGAGATGGCTTCGGATGACAGAAAGAGGGAGAATCCCTATCACCATGAAAACAAAGCAGGGAGTCAATGAAGATGACCAAGGTGGGAAGAAGGGAGGACACAGTATGGAGTTCTCCTTAGATGTTCCAAATACAAAATTTAAAACTGACCCTTGCCCTGCTAATTTAAGAGTTAAGATTCAGACTTCCGTGGGACAAAAATAAAATAGCCAAAGCATAACAAAAGCTGTAAAAGAAGATTTAAGGAAAGCTACGCCGTTCAGGAACAGAGACTGGACGCGTGGGAAGGTGAAAAACAGGAGATAAAGCCTCTTTCCTTTCTTTATAAAAATATATATATATGTATAGACAGACAGGTCTGCAGGTTCTATGTGCATACAGAGGATAAAATATCAAGTACACCATTTCTATCAACTACTCAACATGCTTGCTTTCTTTACCCTCATGAGAACACTTTCATTTATCATAATCTGAAAGGGTTACACTACAACACAAACTACCCAGAAATTTCCAAGCCCATAGACTCTTTCAGGTATCATGCAATCATCTCAGATTTTGGATGCTGGCAGACAAGTAACCCATTCAAAAGCACACCACTAACGTTTATCTAAGCCTCCTTTTCAAATGATAAGTACAGTTCCTGATCTTAACACAGCTGTTGGCTACATACACAGATCAGCAGATTACAAAAGCTATTAAGTGTCAGAGCCTAACAGCAACAATTTCAGTAAGCATTCAAAGGTCTCCATGTTATGTTTTTCTTCCCTCCCTGCTCTCGCAGTTCTCTTTTAATGAAAGTTTTTTATTTGTTTTAAGGAAGACTCAATGGTAGAGTTGAAATATCAGAAACTCTACCCACATTAACCACATACTCAAAATTTGTGTCTCCCTTTCCCCCTGCATCACTGCAAAGTGTCCAAACCCCTATTTCAGCATTTATCACGGCTTATGAATTGCTTAGGCATGAAAGGTTTGCTCTCTGACCTTTTGAACAACATGAAAATTACATACTCTTTGTCATTAAGTATAAGCAAATCGGCCTCAAAGTTGCAGTTATTCTTTAATGATTTAAGAACTATCCTTCATTTCCTGAACTTAGATACGTGGCTTTTGATTTTGTGTCTACACATTACTTACTCACAGTACAACGTTAAGAAAAGTCTACCCGGTACAGTTCTGATCAATGGCAGCAGCAACGTGAAGAGGAGTAACTCAAGCCTAGCGCTGTCCAATTGCCATTTGCAACATCTTATTCACTTGCTGATGCTGACACAGCCATTTCACACAGAAAGGCTTGAGAATTGTCCTGCATCATCATTAAATTCGGTAAGGATTTAAACTGTCATTTGCCCAAAGTTATCTTATTTTCTGTTATAAAATGAGAACACCTTCGCACCTGCCTTATAATCTGTACCAATATCAAACTTAAAAGCCCTTAGTAAGACTGGTTATAGCGACCTTTTTATATCACTCAGGTATATCAGATAGCGCAGATCACCAAACAGATCGCTTACTCGCTGTCAAAACCTGCTCCACCTACTGGACATAACTGACCAAAGCACGCACATGAATTGGACCTTGGCTCATGCAATCTACAATGCCCTGCCTCCATCTGCTGTTCAAAGAACACTTTAAGAGGCACTCAGAGCACAGGAGAACCAAATTCCCTCATACTGTTTCCATCTATTAAGGTATTAATTTAAGCCACAACTACAAATAGGGATAGCCAGGGCACTTAAACAGCAGTAATCGTCTATATTAACGCACGGATTGAAGGCTTTATAGAAAGGGAGGGAAAGAAAGACCCTACCCCCTCCACGGGTACCCACATTCCTTCTCATAGATGGTCCTAATTCAGCTCCCCGTCAGCTACATTCCTTGAACACTTCAAGGTGGGAGGAAGAGTTGCTCAAGGCTATTCAGGGTGCAAGCCATGCGCAGCAACTCAACCATTATTTCTGGAAGAAGAAAGGATACAGCAGTACAAGAGCAGTACAAGAAAGGCAAGCCAAACAAAATAATACTGCTTACGTGACCACAATGGCAAGGAAATGGTTTTAAAAGGATCAAACAATTTGATCAGATTAGCAAGCTTCAAAAGACAGATCCTGACAAGCCTGCTTTGTCATTACGGTATCATTATGTTGACAGCTAGGGAGGCATGGGGAAAAAAGGACAGTGTGAAATGAAATGAAATACATAAATTTAGCTCTACACAAAGAAAGTAGGGGAACTCAAAGACAGTTTTAAATATTTACATACAGTAAGAGTCCAAAACAAAGCCCAAGGCTAGAAGTAAGGACAAAGGGAGAACACAGATATCAAGAAGATAAAAATAATGGAGAGTGATAAATAACTCGATAAGAGCTACCTTAATTGACATTTAGCAATTACACCTCTGAATAAATGGCAATGGAGATACAGATGAATGGATAGTTCAGCTGTGGACAGATACGAGAAACAAAAGCTGCATAAACGAAAGCTAGATGAACCACTATCAGAGTTTGGACGAAAAATTCAATGTGGAGATTCAACCACGATAAGGGCGTTCCAAACAAAGCCAAGCGTGGAGCAAAGGTAACAGGAGCCAAGTTCAAAAGGAACCAAGGCAGGGCACAAGAAGTCAACACACTGTTACAAGGAGCACACTTAACTGGCAAGGTGGGAGGGGCAGGGGCATATCTTGATTAAATACAAGATATGAATGACAGTGAAAGAACACTTTCAGCTGACCTCAACCTGATCATTCATTTCTCCCTCTATTCATCTGTCAACAGCTGCCTTTGGCTGGTTTGCTCAGCTCCCAAGCAAAGAACAACACTTACCGCACACTCAGACTTCAGTAGCAAGATGAGAACACGGCTTTTTATTTTTTAATGATAACGTTAATAACAGTAATCTACAGTAACATTAAGCTGCATTTCATTCTACGGGTTTCAAAAAACACCAGGACCTAGAATGAGGAGGATGTATTTTCTACAAGGTGAAATAATTCACAGCATCTTGTGCTTTTGTTTACATTTTCAGGTATTATTCCAATTTTTTTTTTTTTTAAATAATAATGGTTAGGCAAGAGTGGAACCACAGGAGGTTTTATTCTCTTAAAAGATAAGTTTTTTGTGTGTGTCTGGGTCCGTGGAGTCATTTAAACACTGGTAATGTACTATGTGTTGATTATACAGTATTTTGAGAAACTGACACTTCAACAACATATTTACAACAGCTGTGTGCACACATTAAGACTTCTACAAGTGTAAATTTCATATTCGGCTCCTCTTGGAACTTCAGCCACAATTCAGACTTTGGAGATGAGTATGTGAGTGAGCAGGTAGCTGTATGGCAGCTATATACATCTAGGCGTTTTCCTCTCATTTACTCTAGGATAAATCAGACTAGGAAAACCCATAAAACTTGACCAGTTAACTATTTGCTCACCTGAGGGTATTAGGTAATCTCTCTCAATAATTCTGGCTGACGCCAAGTCACTGATGATATACTGCAATCTCAAGTGTTTGAACACCGACAGGAACGCACTCCCTTGTTCCGATTCCAGGAACGCAATGTCACCCTCAAAATCTGCAAGACAGGATACTTGTGTCACAATTTATTTTCCTAAATATTTTCCAGATCCTGTTTGAGATCCTGAATTTTAACTTTTTCATCAGGGAAAGTTATCACGGACAGGCAAATTACATTTTGCAGCTAAAAGTAACTGACAGTTTTTTCTATCTCAAAGTTACTTACATTCAAATCCTTTCAGCAGAAACCTTAGACCAAACTCTGCTTCCTTTGAAATATATCAGCGTCTTCTCCCGAGAAGACAAAACCAAAGCATAACCTAACTATGCAACAGCAAAAGCTGTTCAGTGAAGACGTCTGCTCAGTTCAGAACATGCAGACAAAACAGGTCAAAAGCCCTCAATGTTAGGAGAACGTGAAGCCGGGGGCTGAGGTAAGCCTTTCCAAGAAAAATAGGACAGAATCTGGAGACGGGGGAAGACTACCACGCTGTATTGGCAGCCTGCATCTTCCACAATCCAAGGCCATGCCAGTAATCCTACCTTTCCTACGCTTGGCAAACCAGGCATCGGCTTCAGTTAAAAGCTGTTTCAGAGACCCATTCCAAGAAGGCACGAGCTGAAGGAACATCCACTAGACAAAAAGTAAACAACTCCAGTAAGCCTATTGTTTCAAAGCAGTAACATATGCATTATTAAAAGGACATCTGCATAATACAGGCACTCCTACAAAATTTCTGACGTTCTATTATATATTTACAAGCAATACCTAGAAGGCTACAATTCTCATTGCTTTACAAACCAAATAGGTACTCAGGAGTATAACTTTATAAAGCATCAGCCAGACTCTCTGCAAGTACCTTCTTCAGAGCAGTATACACATCCATTTCCACTTGCATTACAAATAGGTTAGAAGAGCTGATCAGCTGTTTCATGAGGTTTATGCTGAAAAAAATAGCAAGAGAGTTCTGTGAGACAGCACAGACAAAGACAAGAAAGCCAGCCACAAGTAATAAGCAGACATCAATAGCCGAGAAGGTTATCTGTAGTAAGCTATATACTTTGGAAGAAATTGTACTTCATCTCTCGGTCACTAAAGTCAACTGAAGCCTGAATACCTGAGTTCTTTGAAGAGTTCAACACTCTGATGGGTCATCAGGTTATTCAAAAGCCATTCAAGGCACCTAGATTAAAAGCAAGGAGTTAGTACCTCAGTTTTTTTCTATATATTCCAACATTTCTGCAACAGTTGCTCAAGCTCCTCTGTATCAAAAACCCTGACTTAACATAGCATCATTTCGAAATATAATTTAAATTGACATATTGACATGAACTTTACTCATATTTTTATGCGCTATTTCAAAAAAAAAAAAAAGTTTACTTTAAAGTTTTCCAAAGTTCTATGTTACGGTTAAAGTTGCATTTAGATTCTCTCAGGGTAGAGTGAGAGCTAAATTCAGAATTCAATTAATGCCACAATAAGCTCTGAGAACGCACCCATTTGCAGCAGATGGAAGCAGTTAGCCCTAACCGTAACACTCTGCTCTCAAGTGTGTATTTATCCCTTCTAATTACAATAAAGTTAAGCTCAGCTTCTGAATTTTAAAGCAGCTTTGCTATAAAACAACAGTATTATTTCACTGCCATGCTGAAGATCAAATGTGTTGTCTTTACTAATACACTTCGGTAATTAATTCTTTACAGTGAAAGCACTATCTACTATAATCTTCATCTATTTTAAGACAGATAATTACAGTAGAAACAGAAAAACAAAAGAGTATCATGAGCGGAGTCCAAGACAGACAGGCAGGAACCAACACGGACATTGTTCCACTGCTTGTAAATTCACATTTTTCAATAACAATATACAAAGCAGCTTGGAGGAAGCTATTCTTACTTTTTTTTCACAGAATCTAACCCATATGTCCCCGCTGAATTATAATAACCACACACAGTTTTTGCATTAATGGTTTCCTTCATTGTTTCACCACATTGCTGGATTAAGCCATCCTGTGGGGAGAATAAATACCACAAATATTTAAGGTTTTAGTTTCTAAACAGTAAGTATAAAAGATCGTGCAGTTCATACAAACAACTTTTAACGTCTGAAGAACTACTGAGGTCACACACGCTATTAATTTGGTCAATATCTTTTTTGCAGAGAATCTTAACAAGCACAGTCAAAAGTATAGGGATACTTGGAGCACAAAGAACAAGATGATACGATACTGCATGATGCAGTCTACTACCAACACCACAACAGCACGACCATATCTCTTTGGAACGTACTGGATATTTCCAAGTATGTTTAGAAACTTTTTAAAAAGTACACTAAATGTAATCTACTTTGATTCAAAAGATTATATAAACTATTTCAGGGAAAACAGTAGCAAAGTTAGGCAGGCTCATATCTAGAACATTTAAATGAACATTCTCTAGAAAATTACCTAGGTCATTCCTGTCATTTGTCACGTGCAAAAAAAGCATAACCAATACTTTCTGGGTAGAACAAACGATACAGTTTGAGGATTTTATAGCAAAGCACACAGAGTTGTTATCTTTTAATGTACTTCTAGATATGCATCTCAATACATCACTTAATATTAAAACGGAATCTTAGTCATAGCATTATCAAATAAAGCCACTGCATTACATGTGGTTCTTCTCACTCGTTGTTATAAAAAGAAGGTTCGCTTATCTAGCTGAGACAGTGCATGCATGTGGCTATACTATGAATTATCATCTTTATACAAATATATTAATATCTATATACAAATATATATCTCCACACACCTATATAAAATATTATACAGCTATGCAAATTATTATTAAAAACTATACAGCTATATACATATCTACATATATATATATATAAATATTTCACCTCTAATACTTACGAGCTGCAGCATGCAGGCTGCTGCTAAAAGTGCAACTACTCGACTGGGTTTTATTAACACATCATCTCTATACAGTGAGCCAAAAGCCACCTGTAGAGCTGAAAAGAAGTACAACTATCAAACAAAGACGACTGGACATCGAGCTTTGATAACTAAAAGAATTCTTAAACACAACCAAAGCATTCCAGTGCATGCATTCTCTGCAATCTTACCTGTTGGATCTTAGGATAAAAAACTAACGTTAACCAGTCCAAGCACAGAGGCACACACGATAAACGTAGAACACAATATTAACTAATAAAATGCCGTCCGTTTCATTATTTGAACAAAATAGTCACCTTAAAACAGCTGCAAAGGTATGCCACGGAGCAACGTGAGGAGCAACAAAACCAGATGAAAAGAAACTAAACTTTACGCAGAACACATTCTCCCAAGTTTCTTATCTACTACTTAGAAAATAGAACTTCTTTTTTTTTTTTTAATAAAACATTTTATTTTCAATTAGTTATGTCAGATTAGATTCATCCTTTGCTTTCAGAGTTTATGTTCAAGTAAAAGGCTCCCGCTTACCTTCTATATCGATATTCTGGTCAGGAATCTCTAACTCTATGATGTTCATGCTGGATTCTCTCCAAGAACCACTGAACATACTGGAAAAGTAGCCTGACTATATGAGGGAAGATGAGGGGAAAGAACTCAAGTAAGTGATTTCATTCAAATGAAGACTGTCAAAAAAAGCACATGGAACCAACGATTGTTAATATTTACCTTTATTGCAGAATAAAACGTATTAGGGGAGCAGTAACTTTTCAAACTTTTCACAAGCTAAAACATTCTGACATACTTTATCATTAGAAAAGGCTAACTATAGTTGCTCTATTTCTAGAAGTGGAAATACGTATAAAAAGGTAGACTACATGTGTATAATCTGCTTAAGTAAAGAGCTTTAAATGGCCAAAATAGCTGTACAAGCTCTTTTCCTTCAAACCACACCTATGGGATATAATTAGTCTTAATGTTACTGGCAGACAACAAATCCTGCAGGCATTGGAGAATGCCAGTTTGGGTAAAAAAAAAAATGCATGCAAGACATACAAATTAATGTACGAGGTTGCGGTCTCATACCAAAGACACATACACATACACCATTTATGTAAATATACCTTTTATAATAAAGTGTAAGGCATATAAAACTAGAATTTGATAGGTTTCCATCCAAATGAAGTGAAATATACTGCTCTACTAGGATTCATGATTTTCCATCTCAGCAGAAGATGTGCGCATTATGAGATGCTATCACTCACTGAAGTTTACCTGAGAGATCAAAAAAATAAAGTCTATTTGTACAGTACCATACTCCCTGACCTGTTAACTCAGCATTTCAACTCAGGGCAGCAACAAGTATGAAAATCCAATTGTGATTGTATTTGAATATTTAAAGATTTCTCTTCTTTCAACATATCCTTTAACTATGCCCATGTATACCACACTACTCTCAGAACCAGGACCTTATTCATTTTGCCATTCCTCGTGAGGCTACTTCAGTTTTGTTATAACCCCTGTACTCATAGATCAGCTCCGCAATTTGATGAGGAGTTTAATATTTTAATAAACACTAACAGAAAACTTAATTCTTCATGTTTCACATCTGCCACTCACACGTGCAGTAATACCTTTCTTCATTTAGCAAAATAGCTACAGGAACTTTAGAGACTGGGAAAATTTAAGCATTAGGATAGAGGTAGGCTACTCAACACGGCACAGGAGAAGCAATAATTTCATTAAGAGTAATTTACAAATATAGTTTTTCCTAACTTCCAGCAATATTTTAGTTATGACGACATAATTCCAATGGAAGAGCACGAACTGAAACAGAAACCTGACTTGCAACACAGGCTATCTTAACTACAAAATTTCGTCTCACATGAACATCATTTATACAAAGAGGCCACCACACAGCAAAATCAAAAATTTCCAAGCACCCACAGAAGCACTCTTAACATTAGATTTCAGTCAATCACCCACACTAAGTTTTGAGGAGCAGATCCACGAACTTGTGACGTAGCAACAGTAAAATCCCAATGAAAATCAAAAATGCCGTCACCAGCAATAATCTAGGGACTAACCAGCAACCTCACCTGCCTTTTTTAAGCTACACAATGCAAGTCTGACTGTCCAACCCACTCGCATCCTCCCATTGCTAGATACAGAGTCAAAGATGAATAGACAACTAAAGCTGCATCTGCTAGCTCTCTTCCCTGATAAAACCCACCCACCTTTCTACCCAGAGATCAGTGCCTCTGGATCAGTCCTTACTATACATGAACGACTTTCCTGCCTTTGTCTTAAGCTCTTTAAAATGCTTTAAGGCCTATAAAATAGGCTTCTTTTTCCTAAAAGAAAGTAATGACTGTTCCCCCACCATGGCCGGTGCAAGAATTTTTGTACCTGCACAGAAACATGACAGCAACACAACAAAAAAAGCAAGAACTCACTTCTGCTGTCATTTGTGACATCAAAGAACACTGCATTCAGCCTGCCCAGCTGAGCATCTCGCACTGACATCCGCATCTTGTGACTCATAAAACTAGGTTTTGTGTTTGACTACAACTAACAAAGAGGTGCATATGTTTTCAGGTATAACATTTGAAGTTACTTTCTCTTCCCTCTTCAAATAAGTTCTTTCTAGGGTTAAAGTCACCACGTTTTAAAGTTAACAGCACAACTGAATTAGAAGTTTCAGCAGCTTTCCTCCCGACAAAGCCATGGCTTCTTCCTGTTTCCGTCACTGGAAACGCAACGAAATAGGAAGAAACTAATCTTACATAAATATTGTCCTTTCATATTACAATTGACACTGCAGTCATTTCCTCCAAACTCTCTATTTTACTTTATGAACATCAATTTCCAACCACAGACAATTCCATAACTGTAAAAACAGAAAGGGCAGAGTAAACAATTCAGATTATCCTTGAATTCATTTTAACTTTTGAAGCATTAGCAAAGAAAATTTAAGAGAATTTAGAGTTCACAGCAGGTGCTTTCAAATGGCATGGCAGACATTCTGATCTACGCAAATCCCATCCAACAATTCTGGTGATTTTGCAAGCTTTTTTTGACAGATCTAAATTATATCCTGCTAGAGAAGCCATTCAGTCATGACCCATTTGATGCACAGACATGGTTTGACTTTACCAGATACCTCCTGTGTTAAGAGGAATTCCTCCCTGAGCGCTGATCACGTAACATCGGTTAAGGTACACGCTTGGTGAAAACTTGAGGATCCAAATCCCCTGGCTCCGTACCTTGCTTTAAGGACACTTCCATACCACGTATGGTTTAAGAAGTGTTTCTGCTTACGTTATATTTATAAAACAAATATACGGAGACAGCAATAAGCATCTAGCATAGCTCACAGATAACGGTACTGTGGCTGGCTTAAAGTGTTACACTTGATAACGGACTGTAAAGATAATAGTATCTATTCAGTCCATAAATACAAAAAATAATACTGAGAACTTCAGCATAGCACAAGCCCAAACTAAAAAGCCTGCACAAACAGCATGGCTTTTAATAGGTACGGAGTAAGACTTACTGCTTTTTAGCACTTCTGCGCATAGCTTCCTCATACAGCAGCAAGGAAGGCGTATGGACTTCTCACAGTCACAGGATCACAGGATAATTCAGGTCGGAAGGGACCTCAGGAAGTCTCTAGTCCACCCTCCTGCTCAAAGCAGGGTCAGCTAAGAAGCTAGACCAGGCTTGCTCAAGGCTCTGCTCAGGCTGCTCTTGAAAACCTCCACGGACAGAGGCTGCCTAACTTCTCTGGGCAACCTGTTCCGAGTCACCTGACCTTAAAGACTCTCTCCAAACCCGAACTTAAAAATCCATTCAAAGATCTTGAATAACTAATAGCTTTAAAGCTATCACCCGTACTACCACCGCACAGAGAAGACCATGGCTATTTGCATTACTGAAAAACAAATCAGCAGGCAACGTATAGCAGTTGGTCAACAGCACACACGCCATGCACGCAAACCTCTATGGTTCATTCAAAAGCACGTATACAGAGTACAAGCTATGGACAACACGCTTGTGCTTTGGCTTCCTGTACTGGAGTACCGGGGGGATAGTACGTTTGCGCCAGGTTGGCATATGCTCCTTCTTTGCCCTGCGATAACGTTAACATCGCAGGAGACGCTCCCTCAGCCTTTTTTGCTCAGCACACAGGAACGCGTCCCAGGGCCCTCCAAAGACAGCTTTCGGGAGGGGGCTTTCACAAAGGCTAGGCGGGAGTTAAAACAGGTAGTTTCTAAAGTTAAACAGCGGGCTGGAGCAAGAGAAACCGAAGCGGGAGGCGCCGGCTGCGCTTCCTCGCGTTGCTGCCAAAGGCAGGTGAAGCGCAGCGCAGAGGGCTGCGCCCGCAGGAAGGGGTACCACGCAGAGAAGGGGAAGAGAAAAACGCGAACTCGTGCTCGACGTCTACAAAGCGCTCCCTCGCGGGGCCGAAGCTTAGCACCGAGCGCGAAAGAAAACCAAAAAAAAAAAAAAACCCAAAAAACCAGAACAAAGCAAAGCGGCTTACCTGACACAAATATATCTTATGCAAGTTCCACTCCTCTCCCAGGGCGCAAATTTTAACATCGCTGTTCTCCCCGTTCAGAAAGAGGGTCTGGTAGATGTACTTGGACGTGCTCTTCAGCTTTTTCCTGCGCGGGGAGACAAGCAGAGACGTGCTGCAGCCCCGCCGCCCGCCCCC